ATTTTTATTGTTTTTTTTTTCCGCAACTACTTCATGGGGGGCCGGTTTAGGCCTCCTCCACACCCTGAACCGGTTAGACCCCCGATACACCCATTGTAGGGGCGTATCAGAGGGGTCCCGGACAGGCCGATACGTGTCGATACTTTGAACCTTGGGATCTAGGGATCTTATATTGGTCAGACTCCTATTAGATTCAGATCAGATTCACATTTAATCCAAGCCCACTTTTTTTTTTTTACAAAAACATAATAAAGCTAAAAATTGAAAAAAGATAATTACTTTTTAACCTGTATATTTTTTAGCCTATATATGAATTGAATATCAAAATAAAATTTATATAATTATACCTTGTAAAACTTAATTAGACTCAAATCTTAATCAAATCAAATATGAGATTAGGTTTCAAACTTTGAGAATCCATTGACAACCCTAATGTAAATTAGACAATGTGACCTAACTGCCACTTAAACATCATAAAAATGAGAGGTGAGATGGTTATTTGCAAAGGACTCTGATTTGATGAGATGGGAGATGTATTAAAATTGAACTTAACTAAGCATTTAATGTTAGATAGAAGGGTCATTTACTAGAACACTCCAATAGTTTCACAGATTTACTTAAACCCACCCTATAGTTTACATTTTACTAAAACACCCCTTATAGTTTGCAACCTATTTACTTAATCCACTTTTCATTAACAACTATTTGCTTTGCACTCTGAAAATAGTAACATGATCAACTAAACTAAGTGGAAAATGTTTAAGGGCATGGACCTGTGGTTGTTTCTTCCAAAAATACCCCTAAACAGAGTGGAAAATGTTCAAGGGTATGGATCCATGGTTGTTTATTCCAAAAGTACCCTTAACACTTTTTTGCATAAAGAACAAAATTGACCAAATAGAGAAAAATAGAGTGGTTGTTTATGTTTTAATAGGGGCAAAAATGGTCTTTTTGTTTTTAGTTTATTTTGATTAAAGTTATTTCAATGGATGTTAGGGTTAAAACTGTCATTTTCCACTTTCATCAAATAAAAGGTTGATTAAGTAAATTGATTGTAAATTATAGGGGATGTTTTAGTAAAATACAAACTATAAGATAGGTTTTAGTAAATTAATGAAACTATAGGGGTGGGGTGTTTTAGTAAATGACCCTAGATACAAACTAGAAAGACTGTTTTTAAGCATCTCTTAATAAAGCATATTTATCTCAGAGGAGCTTACCCCTCAACGTCCAGATTAGGACCAAGTACGATTACTGGTTATCACAGATAATCCCTCGCCTTACCCTTTGGTGAATGATCAATCTTAGTGCAAAGAATATGTGGGCAATAACGCAAAGGGATGATATATATGGAAATTCAGTGGTGGATCTAAGACCTTTGATCAGTAAGGGCAAGGCATCTAATGGGGAGGATAGGTGCCCAAGGGGGAAAAGGAGATTGTTATCTCTAGGTTTGAGGAGATGAAGTAGAAAGATGAGATTGAACTGTTGAGCGGTGTGAAATGGAAAGAAACAGAAGAATAAAAGTGAAAACCCTAAATCCCAAGCCTTAATGGAATAGGGACATATGTGTCATTTATTATATTTTTCTTTATTTTTACGTGTTCATCTCTAAAACATGACCTATTTAATAAGTCAAATTTTATTTGATCCATTACTCTTTTTATTTGAGTGGGGGCAATTGTTAAAATAAATAAATTTCTTTAGAATTTTCATAACCATATAAAACTTTTTTCAAATGTCAACGGGGCAATTGCCCACACTGACTTCTACATAGATCCGCAACCCCATGGGATCCACACTTATTGTGTTGGAAATATTTTTAGTAAGACTTGTGGTAGCGTTGGTGACTTTGGTTGTATTTGATATAGTGTTGTTATATAGACATTGTGTTGACAAAAGCATACGAAATCATAGTTTTTGAATTGCTGTTGACTCAGATGGTCAGACCTTGGTGTTTTACCCAAATGTAATCCCTGGCCAAAAACCGTTGAATCAGTCAATGACCTGTTGATTTGGGCGGTCGAACCATCAACCCGTCAACCCATTCAACAGTTTTTGGCTATTTTTATTTTTAATTATTTTTTAATGTTTATTGTCAGAATGAACCGTCCATTCGAACCAGATGGTTGAACCATCCACCCGAAAACAAGTGACCAAAACGATTCCATTTTCGGATCATTTTTTAAAACCTTGTACGAAATTACAAAGAGAATGAATTGGGTACAAAAGTGCGAAGTAAAATTTATTTATTACTGTTTATTAAAGGCAAGAGCTATTAGGAGAAAACACCCGCATAACACCCCATCATGAAAATCTAAAATGGTGCAAAAAATTAATGCACCCTTTGTTCGAAGACCATTTGTACTTGGCAAGAGACCCCTACATTAAAATAGAAAAGAAGGAAGTCATTTCCTTTCCAAGTTTAAATAAATGCATTTCAAACATTTGCTGCATATTATATAAAAAGTTTAACCAATAATATCAATGATGTTATATGATTTATTTACTTTTCATTGGTTCACATGATTTATTTTCATTAAAGACACTATAAATTTTGACTTTTTAAAAAAGAATAGCAACTTTTATACTTTATGTTTAGGGATACAAATTGATCGGATTGGATTTGAATCAGAGTTATCCAAATCTGATCCGACATTGTTTATGTTGGATATGATCTGATATGAAGATATGATCGGATTTGATAGGCCTCGATTTGAATTCGAATCGTATCGGTAAGTCGGATCTTCGGATCTAATCCGATTTGACTTGTTTTCTTTAAAAATTAATAAATTATTAGAAGAACAATAAAACATACTAATTTAAATAAAGAAAAAACAAAAAATACAAGTATTTTTTAATTATTTTTATCATATATATGCATGTTTTTATAAAAAAATAAATAATATAACAAATTTATAAAAACAATATATAAATAATATATTTATAAATAAATAAATAACATATATATGTGTATTATATATATTTATATTTATAAATATATAACATATATCAGATCGAATCTTCTCAGATCGGGTAAGGGTAATCCAAATCCAATCTAATCCAAATATCCGAATAGGGGTGGTTCGAATTCGATCTAATAAATTGGACCCGATCCATTTGCACCCCTATATTATGTGGCAAACACAACATAAACAATTTTTTAAAATTTGGTTTTGCCGTCCAACCAAATAGAACCTCTAGTTACAACATTGATTTTTTTTTTTAATTACATGTAAGCCACGAGTGCACCTTTGGTAAATGAAAAGCTTATGTGGGAGGAACCTCAAAAAGTAATTATGTAACACCGTTCAAATCCATAAAGAAAAAAAAAGGAAAAAAGGAAAAGTATGAATAGACCTAATGCAGATTTCTGAACTTTCCTATAAATTTATAAACATTCAAAATATCAAAAACCCACACTCTGTGCACTTTTACCTGCCTGTGAATCGGCATCAATTCCGAGTTGGCACTACCCCAACTGTACTTTGGGCCTATGAATTATGACCCTGGGCTGAACGGTCATTCTCCCAAAAAAATTAATAGATTTATGACAAAGAATGATTAGTTACCAGATTCCATTTGTCCGCATCTTCTTCTATCCTTTTGGATGGTGGGGAATAAAACATATTAATTATAATTATTAAAAAGCTCAGGGTAAAATACAAAAACCTCCCTTGAAGTTTCGGGCAATCATAAAAGCTTCCTCTATAGTTTCATTTTAACAAATATCTCCCTTGAACTTTTAAGAAACTCAACAAAACCCTCCCTTTCGTCATTGTCCCAGACAGAAAATGTTAGATTGATGCACCGTTTTTTTCTAAATATCCATTCTACCCTTTTATAAATTATCTTACATACAAAATTACTGAAATAATCCCATTTTAACTCAACAAAAAAAACATATTTCAGTAAATTTGTATGTAAAATTACTGAAATGATCAGTAAATGAGGTTTTTGTTGAGTTAAAATAGGGTTATTTCAGTAATTTTATATATAAAATAAATTATAAAAAGGTAGAATGGGTATTTAGAAAAAACTGGTGTATCAATTTAACGTTTTCTGTCAGAGACAATATCGAAAGTAAGATTTTTGTTGAATTTCTCAAAAGTTCAAGGGAGATATTTTTTAAAATAAAACAATAAGGGAGATTTTTATGATTGTCAGAAACTTCAGGAGAGGTTTTTTGTATTTTACCCAAAAGCTAAGCAAATGATGCACAAATCAGACGGTTAATAGTTGAGCTGATCATGCTCGGGCAAATTTTTAAAACCGAACCTCTATCACCCGTTTTTGCAAATTTTCCAATCAATTAATCGATTGATCGATTTTTCCATTTTCTTGATTTTTACGTGTTTTGTCTTTGATTCTGTGGACACTCATGTACCCAAGGAGTTCGGATCTGCTGATGACACCACCGAGATTCTCAAACTGCGGTTGGATGAGCGTGGCCAGCAGATCCGGACCCGGGGAATCTCTTACTAGCCGTACAAGGGCATCAGGCACCACAAATATGGAACAATGTCTCAGTCGAAGTGGGTCCTGGGCCTGGTTCCAGCTATGTGATGACTGATGAGTGCAAATGGAACCATTGACATTCTGCTTTGTGTGGTCAAACAAACATCTACAGAAACTCCCAATCGGTTTCGGTTGATATTCGGTATTCCTTTTCAAGCTTTTGACAAGTCTCCTATCCACGTTATATGCTCCGGATTTGTTCATAGGAATCAGCACTTCAGATCATCTAGAGACTTCGTATCCAACGGACACGCTTGGTTCTTTTTACCCGATATAAATCTCTCTTTTTGTAGCTTTTATGCACGGTAATACTTCCCGTCCAGTCCTCGACGACACCAGTGGCCAGAACTCAGAAGGAAGGGCCCAAGCCCAGTTAGGTGGGCGCATCTCGCTCTGCCGCGTATTTTAGGAAAAAGCTTTCCTCTGAATTTCATATAAAGAACAGCCAAAATTAAAACACGAGCTCAATTGCCGAACGTTAAATTCGCTCTCTTCTCTCTCTCTCGCTCGCTCGCTCGCTCAGGAGACGAGGAAATGTTCTTCCTTTCTCGTCTCTGAACTCTGAAGACTCTCTCAAACCCCAATAGCTTCGTCTTTGGAATCTACAAGAGAAGTCGGAGATCACTATAATTGTCAACAGGAAAATTGACAACAAGGGGGAAACAGGGAAGCTTCGATCAGAGCTCTCTCTCTCTCTCTCTCTGTAGATTAGTGGTGTTTGTGGGAGTTGCAGAAGGAGAAAGACTATATAAATTTATGGCCATGGGTCCTGAGAGGTCAAAGCCTCTGCACAATTTTTCGATGCCTCGCTTGAAATGGGGGAATCAGAGGCTTCTCAGATGCATGAAGGTGGATTCAAATGGAGAAATTACCTCCTTCCAACGGAGGTTTTCGGCTTCTGGTGGCCAATCCGAAGGTTCGGTCACCCGACGCAGGGAATTCGCGTCATTGAAGCGAAGATATCCGAACGGCTTGGAAAGCCTCAAGAAGTCACAGCTGCCGCCGATTGGAGCTTCTGCGGGGAAATCCAAGACTGACAAGGATGTAGACGATGGGCTTGAAGAAATTAGGGCAAAGCTCGAGCTTCATCTCCGAACCGCCGCTGATAAGCTAAATGCCGCGATGCAAGAGGTGGGTGAACAAAATGAAGCACCGGCCGCGGCGGCGAGGCCCTGGAATCTCAGAACGAGAAGAGCGGCTTGTAAAGCTCCCGTTGAAACTACTGCTTCTGGAGGAGGAAGAGGTTCGAGAAATGAAGAGCGTCAGCAGAATTCTTCTTCTCTTCGGACTGGTAATTCGACCATGAAATCGAATCGGATGCAAGGTGTAGCTGCGGCGCAGGGTGTCGAGAAGGAAAAGAAGGAGCGCCCAAAGTTCTCAATCTCTCTTTCTCGAGAGGAGATAGAAGAGGATTTTTTGACCATGACAAGGACGAGGCCGCCTCGAAGGCCAAAGAAACGGCCTAAGATCATACAGAACCAGCTGGACGTAAGAAAATCTGAAAATATTCTCTACTTAAATTCTTCTCGCACTTTCTAAAATTACTTCTTTTTCTTCGCCATGAATACTGACAGTCTGACAAGCTTTTGAGAATTACGAATATTTGTTTTCCCTGGATGAAATCCTAAAGCGGCCATGGTGGGTTTTGCAGGCAAATTTCCCCGGTTTGTGGTTGACAGAAGTAACACCGGATTCGTACAAAGTTCCTGATCTTCCTGAACGTGGAAAGGTAACATCTTTGTTTTACTCCGACTTCTTTTCCGATCATTTAGAAACTTGTTTACTAGATTATTTTCTTCCCTCCTTTCTTTCCCCTTACTTCCAGTTAGTTCTGATCTGATAAAACTAATATCTTGATCATGGTTTCTGGCTTTCTGCAGAGGTAGAGATGAACCCAGAAATGGTATCTGGAAATTTAAGAATTTCTGCTTGCTGACCATGGAAACGTTGTAACCTCAACTAGTGGTATATCAAACAATCCATCTGTAAATAATAAAATGTTCAGATTTCTTGTTTACATGATTTGCAACTTCGATTCAAATTTTAATTTCATTTACTAAATCCATTTCAATTTCATTTATCCGTCTTTCTACTAACAACAATAAAAGAATATTTTCTTTGGGCTTGATTTGATGAATACCTGCTAACATGTATTCATGGTAATAAACATTGTTATCAGTTTTGTATCTTGCCCACTAAACTAGTTTCTTTGCCTTTTGAATATGAGAACAGCATTAAAGCTGGGCAAGTTCATCTCTTTCTTTCTTTTTGACTGGATTGTTTATTTAACCATAAATATAAATGATCCAGATCAGAAATGCAAAGTAGTTTGTCATACAAATATTCACATGTCCATAGAGTAAACGTGTAAGGCTTGATCATTGAAATACTTGAGCAAAAATTCAATGGCCATTACTAGAGCAGTTGCATCATGAAGCTGGGGACAATATTGTATGGATGAGATAGGCAAATCCATACAAAGTTTCTAACTTTTTTGGTAGGACTGATCAGAACTCAGAAGGCATGACTGGATTCCAAGGGGCCAAAACTGTGTCTGCCATTTACACACATTCATGCATCTAAGCAGACCGCATTCTCATATGTGATCCTCTATGAGTATTAACAGAAGCTTTAAAATTAATTGAATATCAAACTAATATTGAGTTCAGTTGAGACTGTAATCTGATGGCTATTTATAGTATACAGGTAATTGGATTTAGCTACTAGAATCTGTTTGAGCTCAGTTCTTCCATCAAATTTTAGAGAGCAAGATTGTTTTGCATGCTTAGGATAGTTTCAACTTCAAGTATGCTGAGTATTCCCATGTGTAGAGTAGGATAACAAAGAAGAAACAGTGTCTTTATCCATGTACCATGAACTGGACGAACTGAACGAGTTATTGTCTTTCAGTGAATATGGGCTCTGTAGTAAAATCAATGACGAGATGATTTTGTAGTCTCTGTTTTAAACTTTATGCAATGAACTTTTGCATCATAAAAAAGCTTCAACTTAATGCTGTAATGCAGAATCATAATCTCTCCGTCAATGTGGTTTAGGGGTTCCACTGCAATTGTACTTCAGAAACCTTACCTTACCACCGGTGGGTTGCCAATGTTGGTGGTGCAGGCCCCTGCTTTCTCCAAGATCAGCACCAGAGCGTGCAATGATCCAAACCGTATACTAATGCCCAATTGGATGGCGTTCATATTTTTGGTTGGGCACGGTTAAAATTGTCTGATCCCATTCCCATCATGAGATTGGCTCTATACAATTGATGAGCACATATACATGCTCCGGCATTTACATGAGCCTCCAGGTCTGTTCTCTGGACTGCATTTAGCTTGTTACGACTCCAGAATCCAGATTGAAATGCCTATGTGTTGGAAAGAGATTGCAATTGCAACAGTGAATTGGCCGAGATTCCCTTATCCGAAATTGTTGCAGGAATCCGAATCAGAAATGAGGTTAGTTAATTGCCCGTGGGCCGTGGCCTCTTGCTTGGGGTTGGTTAATACTTAATATTTAATAGCGGTCGTTGGTTTGGAATCTTATTACGTTGAACCCACCCACCCCACACACATATTCTTTCTTGACGCCGCATATCTTCTTTCCTTTTCTTTCTCCCCAAACAAAGAAAACCTGGTGCACGCAAGCGTCCCATATTGTTTAGTACTAAACACCAAAGAGAGAGAAGGCCAGATTAGAAAGAGAAGGAAACAACAAACAACTAACTTCTCCTTCTCCTACCTCCAATTCACGGCCACCAATGGTTCATCAGTCATCACAACGTTTTAACTTTTTAAATACAAGGAACATAAAACAGCTCCTTCAAATTGGTCTCGAGTAAAATCTCAATTTAATTCCAAGGTCTGCAAATTGAACCAAAATCTGGGTCACTGGAATTTTGTTTCCTGCAGCCAGAACCCAGAAGTCGATATAATCCGCCATGGAATGTAAAGAATGCCCCCAAGACATAGAGACCTGAGTAAGTAACAAGAGAATGTTGCTCTGAGCAATGATGCTTATGTTAGTATAGTTTAATCCTAGAATTCAGTTAGCTGTCCAAATGAGAATTGACCAG